AGTCCTGGGTGTGACGAGGGTGGCGGTGGTGAGGGCTAGTGATGGACGGAGACGGGGGCGTTGTGTAAGAGAACATAAGCAGACATGTCACCCTCCCTGTCTGCTGGTGGTGGTCAGAGGGACAGGTAAAGCACCTTGGGGAGCTGTAGGGCACAAGGAGGTGCTGTATAAGACCCCCTGGCCCCCTCAGGCCCTTTGCCATTTTACCCCGTCTTGCGTCCCAGAATCCACTTGGGCTGTAACTGCTGATTGTCTGTGATGGCCTGCAGCAGCAGTTGCTGAACTGCACGGCCTCTGACCCCAGAGGGACGTCTTCACTTGTCAGGTGAACTCTCTGGGTGGACAGGTGGCGGCTTTCTCTGCTGTTACAGAACGCCGGGGGGTGAGCAGCAGGTCGCTGGGTCTCAGACAGCATCACAGAGCTGACCTCAGCTCGTTCCTTCTCTGATCCTGTTTGTCTCGTCTGCTTCCTTCCCTCTGCGAGGATTCCCTCCCTGGAAAAAGCACGTCTGAACTTGAGTCCGGGAACGCCACGAGTCAGCTAACCTGCTGGCCTGGAGACTCGAGTCTTTAGCCGCTGAGCCAGAGCCCAGACTGTCTGCAAATTAGAGAAATTAGCCCAGCCGAGAGCGGGTCAGTGAAAGAGCCTACCCCAGCTTTAACCCCCACGCCACCCGGCCATATGGCAGCCAATTTACCCCCACCCCCTCCCCCACCTGCCCCGTGGGGGGGGTCTGAGAGGTGTTTACACAAACTAGCATCTAAACCCACGAATAACCACAGGACAGGGATCTACCTTCCTGGTGACGACAGGAACTCCCTTTGGGTTCTTCTTCCTCCCCACCTGTTCTGTCACTTTTCTCCCACCTGAGGACCAGAAACCCCGCCCCCCCTCCCCCCCACCCCCAGACGCTGTTTCCTCTGAGCTGCAGGTGTCTGAGACGGTTACATCACACACGTTAGGAACCAGCTGAAGTCTGGGACTTTCCAGGTGATCTGACCTGCAGCTCCGAATCAGGTGTCTGAGAAGAAAGCACCGCTCACCTGACAGGTGTGCTTCCTGTCAGCGGGGGCAAGCTGGCCTACATCTGCAGGAGTGAGACAAGCAGCTTCCTGTCAGGACACGAGCAGCACTTTCCAGGCAGCGGTGTGTGTGTGTGTGTGTGTGTGTGTGTGTGTGTGTGTGTGTGTGTGTGTGTGTGTGTGTGTGCGTGCGTGCGTGCGTGCGTGCGTGCGTGTGTGTGTGTGTGTGTGTGTGTGTGATGTAGGTCAAGGCGATACAGTGGCAGCAGATTGCTCATTAAGTGCCAAACCAAGCAAAAGTCTCTGAGTGTGTTTTTCACTGGCAACAGGCCGACCATCTGCTTGCCTTTCTTCATTCATTAAGACGTCTTCTTTGTGTGTGTGTGTGTGTGTGTGTGTGTGTGTGTGTGTGTGTGTGTGTGTGTGTGTGTGTGTGTGTCAGCATTCATCACAACAGACACTTGTTAGCCGTGGCACGTCATTCATGTTGTTGTCCAAAAGCAGCTCTAGTGTGTCAGATGGTGCGGTCACATGACCCTGCTGGCTGCTGATTGGCCGGTTCGTGCAGCTAAAAACGCTTAGCGCCGTTCTGGTGCATTAGTGTGTGGCAAGGCTGACTGAGTGACCACAGCGAGAGCGCGTACCTGGAGAAGAGGACCCACCAGACAGGAGACGCCAGGTGAAGACATGAGGGTGCAGCGGCTGCATGAACGTGTGAAGGTAAGTCCAGGTTCTGGTGTCTCCACCTGTGGAATGTTTGGATTCATGAATGGAGCAGGATAATGAGGTGGCGGCTGAGCTGCTCCCAGATCAGTTTCAGTAGCTGCTGGTGCCGGCTCAGAGGAGATGTTTAAGGTTTTTGCATTCAGGGGAACGTAAAACGACATGTAACCATCTCCTCACTCCCATCCTTCTCCTCCAGATCTCCAGCATGAACCGGAGCACCTAGAAGGACCTCACCAAAGTAACTCCAAACCAAAGCAGCAGAGCCAGACTTACAGCTCCATCTTCATCACAGTCTATCCAACATGAAGCTGGAGAGCACACCAGGAGACATGAGCACTTGGAGGGAGGTGGACTTTGCTCTCAGCTGCACTTACATCGTTCCAGATCAGCTGTCGGACCCGAGCTTCAGCCTGCCCAAAGCCATGACCTCCATCCCACGCAACCTCACCTTCGACTACGGTGCCGACAACGAGGTAATGTTCCTCCATCATCACATCACCCCGAACAGGTCCTGAATCTGAACAGGTCCAGAATCTGAACAGGTCCCCAATCTGAACAGGTCCCAGATCTGAACAGGTCCTGAATCTGAACAGGTCCTGAATCTGAACATGTCCCAGACCTGAACAGGTCCAGAATCTGAACAGGTCCCCAATCTGAACAGGTTCCAGACCTGAACAGGTCCTGAATCTGAACAGGTCCTGAATCTGAACATGTCCCAGACCTGAACAGGTCCAGAATCTGAAAAGGGTCC